TTCTCTCCCCATCCCTCTCCCCCTCCCCATCTTACTCCCTCAGTGTGTCCCATTCACGCGGTGGGGGGTGGGGTGGGAGTGAGTGGACGAGTCCATTCGTGAAGGGGTGGCTCATACACACCTGGCTAGGAGGAGACGCTCCCATTTTCTACTGATGTGGGGGGCAGGAAAGGAAAATGGCAAAAATCACAGGCTCAGCCCACCCAGCCAGCAAGCCCACCCCTGGCCCGTGTGGCTCAGTTGGTTGAGCGTGTTCCATGTAGCAAAAGGTCCCCGGTTTGAATCCCAGTCTGGGCACATGCTGGGGTTGCGGGCTCCATCCGGGAGAAACCACCCGAGCGCGTCAGGAGGAGGGTGAAGTGCGGAAGGCCGAGAGTGGGCGGGGGAAACCTAGCGCCTTGTCTCGCGGGGAGAAACCATTTGCTGCAGGACGAGAAATGTGCGGAAGGGCCTGCCTACCTTCTCTCTCTCTCTCTCTCTCTCTCTCTCTCTCTCTCTCTCTTTTCTTCCCCCCTCTCCCCTCCCCCTTTCCCTCCCCTTCTCTCCCCATCCCTCTCCCCCTCCCCATCTTACTCCCTCAGTGTGTCCCATTCACGCGGTGGGGGGTGGGGTGGGAGTGAGTGGACGAGTCCATTCGTGAAGGGGTGGCTCATACACACCTGGCTAGGAGGAGACGCTCCCATTTTCTACTGATGTGGGGGGCAGGAAAGGAAAATGGCAAAAATCACAGGCTCAGCCCACCCAGCCAGCAAGCCCACCCCTGGCCCGTGTGGCTCAGTTGGTTGAGCGGCGTGTTCCAAGCAAAAGGTCCCCGGTTTGAATCCCAGTCTGGGCACATGCTGGGGTTGCGGGCTCCATCCCCAGTAGGGGGCGTGCAGGAGGCAGCCGATTGATGTTTCTCACATCAGTGTTTCTCTCTCTCTCTCTAAAGTCAATAAAAATATTTTTTTAAAAAAATTAGAGGCTCAGCCCTAACCGGTTTGGCTCAGTGGATAGAGCGTCGGCCTGTGGACTGAAGGGTCCCGGGTTCGATTCCAGTCAAGGGCATGTACCGTGGGTGCGGGCACATCCCCAGTTGGGGATGTGCAGGAGGCAGCTGATGGATGTTTCTCTCTCATCGATGTTTCTAACTATCTCCCTTCCTCTCTGTAAAAAATCAATAAAAAATATTTTTAAAAAAATTAGAGGCTCAGTTGTAAGGAAACACTCTAAGGCCGCGCCAGGACTTTACTGAGCCTATCTGCTCATGGGCCTCCCCTACTCAAAAACACCAGTTTAGTGGCATAAAAACTAAGTTACATGTCATTACAGACATCACAGGTCCTGCAAGGAGGTTAGAAGAAAGTGCAGAACGAGAAAGGAAATTAGAGACGCTGCAAGGCCCAGGTCCCGCCTGGCAAACCTCCCACAGCTGCTCATCTTGCAGATCTGTGGCCTCTGCTCCCCTCTCTAAACCTACTGCCAACCAATAACTGCAGCTGGGTGTGTCTGGGCTCTGAAACCTACATCCACAGCCAAGGCCACCTAAGGTCTATCTTCCCCCACCCCAACTTAATCTCAGATCTCAAGTCTTCACAGATCTCCCAGTTCTTGGGGACCAGGTGTTTGTGGGGGTTCCACACCCCCTAAACCTCCTGGCCATATTCCCAAATGGGATCTTCCTATCTATCCATTCCTTCTAGGCAGGTTGATACTGAGATACAGAGGAGAGTCTCCTGTTTATGTTTTGCCTCAGTTCACTTGCCTGGAACAGGATCTGACTCATAGTACCAAGTACTGTGGCTGCTCACAAGTACTTGCTGAATGAATATTAAATGGATGGATCTTATCCTGGCCTTGTCCCAGTGTGTTGGGAGAGACAGATCCTGAGGAAAGGATCAAGGTTGTGATTTAGGGAGGAACTGGGGACCTCTGGAGACGAGGCAGAAGAGGACTCTGATGGTGGGTAGGTGTCCTAGACGGAATAGTATCTGAGTTAGGATTTGAAAGATCATGAAGGTTAGCCAAGCAATATTACACAGATAGTACAGCTCATTGGGACATGGGGAATGCCCTGGCATAGTTTGATTTTAAAGTCTGATGGGACAAGTGTAGATAAACAACTTGGAGAGGTAGCGAGGCAGTTCCTGAAGCAAAGCTTAGTGAGAAACAAAGCTTTGAAGCATTAATTCATCAAGTGCTATTTTAAGTTAGATGTTGGCTCATCTCATACACTAACAGTATGAAGGAGATACTATTATGAACCCAATTTTACAGAGTAGGAAACTGAGACTCTAAGTAGTTGCCCAATTCTCCAGTTCACACAGCTCAAATGTGTCAGTCTGAACGTTTGAACCTAGTTCCAGAGACCAGCTCTGAATGGTGACTGTCTAGGGATGATGTCTGTGACCGGCAGGGGCTGGCTGGCCCTTTTGCCCCGTGTGCCTCGCCTGATTTCGCGCGCTCCAGACAGGAAGTCCACTTATAGACCTCTAAACCAATCAGATTCAGGAAGGGGGAGGGCCTAGTGGACTTCACAGCCAATTGGTGGCTGGGAGCACCTCCTTAGGCACCCTGAGGACAAATGGGAGGTTTCCGGATATAAGGCTGAGATGGGCGGGGCTTCAACAAGCATTCGGAACCCTGGGCACGTGCCTCTGAGCCTCAAACCTCTAAGACGCAGAGAAGTCAAAGGGCAAGGAAGGGGCGCGCGCATGCGCAGGAGGCCCGAGGCCGGAAGAGCGCTAGGCGCGTAGTGAACTGGGGTCACCTCGGAAAAAAAGAAGCCATTGCACCCCACAACGTGGTGGGGTAGGTGGGCGGGGGAAAGGGGCCAGGTTCGTCGGGGGCAAGAGACGGTAAGGTGCCCCTCCCCCGTCCTTACCTCACCAGCCATATTCCCGGTTCGTACTTCAACCGCCCCACCCTCGCAACCTCGCCAACCCACCTCTCCCAACCCCCGCGACCAAGCCCCAGGCCCCCTCCCCCATAGCTCCGCTGTCGCCCTTTCTGTGTCTTCAAGGTTTTCTCTGTACAACTTCTCTTCTGCTGTTTCTTCTGCTTTTCTTTTTCTACCATCTCTCTCTACTTTCTGCATTCTCCAGGGACCCATGATCCTTTTCCCATCCTCCATCTTGTAGCTATTTCCTCATGCCCCTTTTCCCTGTAACTCCTCTGGTGTTCCCTGACAAGCCTTCCCATTCCCCAGGACTCCCTTGATCCCACCCTATGCCTGTGACTTCTTCCAGAACAAGCCTTTTCCATTTTTAGTATATGTGCTGCCAAAGCGAGCACCCAAGCCTTTTCCAATCCCTTTCTGCCCGCTCCCTCTCTCATATCGTCTCCCACCTCACCCCAAACTATCTCCTTCTCGCGACTCACTTTTAGGTCCCTAATTTGTATACCGATGACCACCCTATCTTTATTTTTCCAGGACTCTATGGACCCCCGGGGGCCAACCCCACAGTCTTTCCAGAGAGCTGAGAAACCTGGTCGGGTCCGCCGTCGGAAGACCAGACGGGAGCGTAATGAGGCCCTGGTGGGCAGCCGCCGGCCGTTGGCTCATCAGGAGCCTCCTGTGGCCAGTCGGAATCCACCCATGGATCTCCAGGATCATGTGGCCCCTACTGCCCCCAAGCTAGTGGTCATAACCCAGGGCCGGCTAAGCCGGGAGCACCGGGGTCTCTTCAACCATGAGGTGAAATCTCTGGACGTGACACGGCTGCTGAGCAGTGGGTCCCTGGAGCCAGACACTCCCACATTTTCCACCAAGCCTTCCCCAAGCCCAGGCAGGGCCCAAGAACCAGGCCCACAGTCAAGGGGCAAGGAGAACCAGGTGCCTGGAGACTCGGGCCCAGGCCCACCTAGTCCCCTAGAGCTCCCTGGCTTGGGGCAGTTGCTGGGGGAGCTGCAGGGCCAGCTGATTCTGCCACAGGCCTTCCCCAGGAGGAACCTAGTACAAGAGGCCAGGGATGCCATCCTGGGTACCTTACAGGTATGCCATGGTTGTGTGCCCGACCTTACCCTGGTGCTCCGAGGCTGCCAGCCATCCTTGTCAGGTGAGCTCACCTCCTGCCCCCTGTGCTCCCCTTCCCCTTGTCTGTTTAGCTCAGTTGTCCCCCATGCTTCTTTCCTCTATGCCAGGGACCAAGCCTGGGGACTCTGAGAGACGAAGGATCAACAGCCCTGAGCAGGCCCCAGGGGAAGGAAGGCAGAGGAGGAGAGAAGGACAGGGGACAAAGGAATTCACCTTTGCTATGCCGCACACCTCCAGCACTCTCACTACACACAGGGTGAGCCTGGCACCACCAAAAGGTCCTTGGCCACCCACATTGCCTTCGACATCTCCGGTGGCCTGGGGCCCCCCAACAGCCTTTGACCTGCTGAAAAGCATCTGGCTAGTAGCCACACCATCCCCTTCCTGGCCCTGTGGGGTCAGCACACCACAGTCCCTGCCTCAGCTACCATCCCCCTTGTTTCCCCGAACCTCTGCCCTTGACTGGAGTCCCTGTCCTCCTGCCCCACTGCCCAACCTCTCCTATACAGTGGCCCAGAGCAGCCCAGAGGCCTGGTCCTTTCCACCCATGAGACTATACTAAGGGGACTAATGCTGGGCTAGGGGCAGCACTCCCAATCACCTCAATAAAATACCTTCTTTATGATTTTCAGTGAGTGGTTGACTCAGGAGAGCAGCTTCCCTTAACTCTTGAAATGGAGGGGAAGGTACTATCACTTGTCACCTTTCTAGGGCCTGAGGGACCAGGAGAATGGAGAAACCTGGGGCTTTAATCAGTTCAACGCATCCACCCACTGAGGCCAACTGTGTGCCGGACTCTGAGCTCTGGCAATGCTGGGGCCTCTGAGTGATAGGCTCTGTCTCCAGGAGACTCCAGTGGTGGGAAGGGCTGGGGGAGTCTGAGGAGGGAGTGATGACTCTGCTTCAGTGATGAGGGAGGTCTTCAAAATGGAGCTGACACAGACCGTTGTATATCTCAAGATTGGTAGAAACTTGCTCGTAGAGGAGGGAGAGAACATTTGAGGCAAAGGGAACAGAATGTACAAGGCCCGGAGAGGGTGAATAGGAGATATGGGACCATTTTCATTTATCCCGTATCTGTGTGAGTCACTTATGGGCCCTGCGATAGAGGGGCTCTTGGTTGGCTGGGCATAGGAACAGTGTGTGCGCAGGAAGGGCAGATGAGGCCTGAATCTGGCCCAGACTTTTCTTTGGCCTGTGATATGTTTTAAACTTTTGAATCAACTGCCTACTGTTAATACACTCATACAGTTTGCTTTAAAAAATTACATTTCTGGCTTCTAAAAAAGGAAAAATGGAAAATGATCTGGCATCCCACCTATTATTCCTCCTGGGAACCACTGCCTCAAATAGAGTAGCAGAGGCCCCTTTTTGTGGGACCCACACTCTCCCTTGAAGTGCTTCACACACTTACGTTTCTTGTTGGTCCCTTGGTTTAGAAAGTTTTTAAACATGGTACTTTGTGGAGTGCAAATTTTTTTGAAGTGGAGGGGGAGGGATGAAACTAGAAAAGTTTTGGAATCTGATCAGGAAAATTGAGTTGAGGGTCTTGGAGGCTACTCTGTATAGCTTTTCCAGGTTTCCCCATTGCCACTGGGAAACTAGGGTTGGTACCAGCATGGAGGGGACTGCACCAGGAGATCACACAGCTGTGACTTGGCTGAGGTCTGATGGGGAGAAAGTGGCAATACTGTAATCTGAACCCAGGCAACTTATTTCAGTCTGCTAGACTCACAACACTTCTGCTTCACAGCAGCCCCGTTGCACACCCTGGTAGCTGCCAGGGACAGGGTCAGGAAGAGGGATATCGTGGTTGAGGGTGAGGGCTGTCTGCCACCTCTGTATTGTGTGACCCAGAACAAATGGTTTGCCCTCTCTGTGGGCACTTCCCAAAGTACAAGAGGTGTGGAACACTGGCATCTGGCTGGACCCAGTGGGGGATGGCTGGCATGGGGCTGAGCAATCAATGAGCAGTTTTTTATTGATTTCAGAGAGTGAGGGAGAGGGAGATAGAAACATCAATGAGAGATAATCATTGATCAGCTGCCTCCTGCATGCCCCCCCACTGGGGATCGAGCCTGCAACCCGGGCATGTGCCCTTGACCGGAATAAAACCCAGGACCCTTCAGTCCGCAGGCCGATGCTCTATACACTGAGCCAAACCGGCTAGGGCTCAAAGAGCAGTTTGAAAACCAAATTGAGGGGAGATCAGGACTGAGCTGGGGTAGGGGAGTTGGACGTCAGGAGATGGTAGTCTGGAGGAGGCAGGGCTTGTGGGAATGGGAGTTCAGTTCAGGACATGGGGAGCCAAGAGGTATGTCACCGGTGGACTGGGGCTGGGTCGGGGTAGAGGATGGGAAAGGAGCGTCCCCTTCCTCGTGGTTTGGAAAGGGGCCCTAGCGGGCCATCCGGATGGAGGGGGTGGGGACCGCAGTGCCCTGCGGCCCCTTTAAACGGGGGCGCG